TTACACAATTTTTTAAAAACTAATTTTTTGTCGTCTTCGACAAGAAATGAAAAATAATTAAAAATAAATAAAGGCTTAGTTGTTTGAACGAAAATGGAACTTGCTAGAGAATAGGAATTAAAATTTTACACAATTTTTTAAACCCAAATTTTTGTCGAAAATAATTAGAAATGAATAAAGGCTTCATTTGAGTGAAAATAGATTGTACAAGTGAATGTCAATATTTAGTCTTATTGTAATATATATTAGTCATCTGATCTTATTAAATTACTGTTACATATCTGTTACTGAATCCGGCTAATTTTTATCAGGTGTTTTAGGAATTATGATAATAGCTGTAATGCAATATTTAATTAGGTTAGTTAACCCAGTTGACCCGAATAATTCAGTTGACCCGAATAACTCGGTTGACCCGAATAATTCGGTTGACCTGAATAATTCGGTTGACCCGAATAACTCAGTTAACCCGAATAATTCGGTTGACCTGAATAATTCGGTTGACCCGGTTGACCCGAATAACTCGGGTCAACCGAATTAGCCAGGTCAACTGTTCAGGAGCGACCATCGATATTACACAACTGACTTTTCACCCGGTATGCAACATATAAAAAAACTATTTTACAATACCAGATCATTCTGACAGTACATGTTATGATTATAATCCCACACTATTTTTAATAATAAAAATGGTGTGAGATTATAATCATAACATGTATTGTCGGAATGATTTGGTATTGTAAAATAGCTTTTTTATATGTTGCACACCAGGTGAAAAGTCAGTTGTGTAACATCGACGGTCGCTCCTGTAGGTCAACTGATCTAACCAAAGCAATACGGTTAACCCGATTGAATCCGGGTAAGTCAACTCGGTTAACTGATTAGGAATTTTTTACCCGGTTCAAATCATTAGTTAAGAATGATTATGACAATCTAAGCAGTGATAACTACGATGATGCAGAATCTGAAGAATCAGTTAAAAATTTATCAGTTATAGAATTTAATAGTATTGAAATAAAAGAAAAATTTATTAACGTAAATATACTATACTCAGTTAATTCTAATATTACATAGTGTTGGGATCCGGATATCAATTTGGATATCCGGATAGTCATCCACACTCAAAAACAGCTATTCAGATGTTTAATCAAATGGATCCCAACACTAATATTACAAATGGTTATTAATGTAATATTTCTGACAATGCTAACCTGTAACTTACGCACATCAACTTTGCTAGTTTACTACATCCTTTTCTTAAATATCAACTGCATCAAGATTGATTTGCGATAATATTAAAAATGCAAATCTTGTTCCTGAAGATTTGCTATCAAATGGCATTGTTTATGGAGATTTTTTAAAAAAATATCACAAACCAATCTTTAACATCATAAATAATTATAATTGTATTAATGAATTATATTCATATGATTCTGATATATTTCAAGTTGAATTAAGTATTCGTGAAAAGGAATTTATCAGTTCACATATCAAACACAGATATGCAAGCATACAAAATCTTTGGGATGATAATAAAAATTTTATAATGCATTAAGTTCTTTTTTAACTTAATTAGAATTTGTTTGGCAAATGCCACTTTATAAAACAAAATCATCTGATCTTAATGAAAGATCATATATGCACCAGGTGATCAAATGTATCTTTAAATTTATGCTTTATAATATAGAAAATGTCAATGTAGAATTTGATGGTATATTATTGTTATTTTTTAATGAATATAACTGATGGCTATTATCACCGGAGTACTATATCTCAAAAACCTACTAGCTTATATCGGGAATACTAACTCTAAAAATAAAAGGCGGTGATGATTACCACTGGTTATTTTTATTTTAATTCTTTTTTAATTTATAAATAAATTTAACCCTCAATATTCTTTTTATCTATTCTATTGAAAGGAATAAGTAAATCAACTAAAATAGAAATTGGGATCACTTAGAGCCAATTTGACTTCCTGATATAATAATCTTGAAAAAATATAGAAAATCTGATTACAAATGGAAGTTTTGTTTTTCTAAAGTCAGTTATGCTCCATATTCATTTGAAGAAGATCATTATTTAGAGGATATAACAAAACAAGCAAAATTTTCTAAAGATGATTGGAATCACGGATTGAGGTATATACAAAATTATGATATACTTGAAGTTATAGATACCTGGGATAGGTTCAATCATATTATGATTCATTTTATAAAACAATAATAAACATTTATGTTCTAGACCATGAGATGAAACCATTTCACAGAATGGTCTTGGTCAAATCAATAGAATTACTATTACAAAAGAGGCATAGCAATATTGCAATTCAGCAAGTATGCGATCTAAGTGAATCATTACTATTTGTAAATAGCTTGATATTGGAAAATATTAGAAAAATAGATTTAATAGCACCAGAAACACTAACAATTCCAAGAACAATAGGGCAAGAGCATATAGTCCTGACAATTAACTCACCAAATGGTTATTATGTTTGATAGTATGTGTTGCGGTAGATTTGTAGCACATGTAAAGATAGGCAAAAAATTTATATAGTTGCCAAAATAAAAAAAGGACTTCAAAGTTTTAATATTAAAAAAAAAAAAATAAATTTAAATTTTAGCAGCAAATTTCAATTTATTGCATACAATTAATGATTAATTTAATGATAAAAATTATCAAGCTAACCAGTTTTCTAAAGTTTTTTCCTTAAATACTATGCATAGCTTGAATAGAAGATTCAATTATGGCTTCATTATCAATATTAAACATTAATGTTTTTCAAATTGTTTGTATTACATTTTTTTTAAATTGGTCTTCAAACTATCAACATTATCTTCCATATCATTAAATTTAATATTCGATACAGTATTTTCAAAACTTGCTTCATTAGAATTGGCTGTAGTTTGAATAATTTGATCAAGCCTATTTTCTTTATTTTGAACAATATGATGTAAATTTTCTATCTTGCTGATCCCCATATTATGAAAATATTTTTGTTGTTTAATTTTGAGTATTAATAAGATAATTTCGAACTTCTAAAGGACATTTCTAATATGAAAATCATTACTGTGGCAGAGCCAGATAAGGCTTATCAAGATAACAAAACGTGCAAAATATATATTTGGCTTTAAGCCCTTTATTAGTTTTAACCGAATGAAAAGCTTTCCAAAGAGAGCCTAATGGATGGCCAGTATAATTAACTGGAAGTTCACAAGCAAATGTCGAATTTGCAAATTTTGTAAAAGCCAACTTGACATTGTGTATAAGTATGTTATTAACGTTCAAAACAATCAATCTTTTTATTTAACTCAAATATCTTGTATATTTTATTTGTAATTGATATATATATAGAAATGAAAATTCTCAATTACCAAAAACTAATTTTTAAGACATTAACTAATAAAAAAATTACCAGGGACCTATTGATCTTCAAATTTTGGAAGTAAAATGATTTGGTAATTTTTCACCAACTATAGGGCAAGTTTGTGATGCAACTCAGAAACCAGGTTGCATATTTTCTGGAAAATACACAGTACTTTTTTCCTGAGCTTGTTTTAAGAAAACTCAAAGCGTCTATCAAAATAATATTCATGAATATATATCCTATTTCAATTCACACAATATTCTTTATTTATATAAATAAAATTAAAATTTGATCAGACTGATTTCATAAATGTTCGAAAATTTTATAAAGTACTATAACTGAGAAAATCTGGGACAGATTACGTCAATCTCTGAATCAAATCTAATATCGGGTATCCAGATTTCAAAAATTAACAAAATATAAAATATATAATACATAATATTTAACGTTTGATATGTAAAGTTTCGAAAAAACAAAATTTTTGTATTGTATAGATAGGAATATAATTTGCTCTGAAAATACAGAAATATAAATTATTGACTTTTACTAAAATGCACCTATGGTGTTTTACATCTATACATATATTATTTCAAAAACTGGCTAATTAATCAATGCAAGATATTTTAAGTAAAAATGCTCTACACCCCTAAAAACCCTTTTTAAACCCCAACTCTAACCCTAAATACTAACACTAACATGTGTTGAAAATTTTTATATTCAAACTTAGAAAAATTTAAAAAACATAATAAAATATATGATAGGTGCAAAACCACCATAGGTGCGTTTTATAATAAATGTAAATTAGTGTTTTAACCCATTCAACCTGGGTGACCCATTGGGCTGATCCAAATAAACTGATGGGTATTCCCAGCCAATCGCTGATATTTGTTTATATCGGATAAAGTAGGATATATAACAATTCTATTTTACCTAATGTAAAAAAAGATCAGCGATTGGCTGGGAATACCCAGAATACCTGTCAGTCTACTCGGATCAGCCCGACAGGTCACCTATGGGTGAACGGGTCAAAACACTAATGGGAGAACGTTAAAGCCAGGTTCGTTTAGTGTTAGTTTTTTTGATGCAGTTAGGCCAGACCAATTTAATTCTTTGTTTAACATAACCCCTCCCCCCTATTTTTCAAAATTTATATGAACCCAA